TCCAACACCACCAGGTGCCTGTGACTGGGTAGGGTGATCCACCTATCATCCCGCACAGCACTTTGTTTCCATGATTTCACCAAATCAATAACATCTAATGGTAACGATTGCCACTAAACTGACAGCCTAACTCTTGAGCTCATATAACAATGAGATTTTAATCTTCAGAGCTGCAATGTACTCAAGATATTTCAGTTTGATAACATTAACAGCTGCCTACCTACTCCACTTCTTCACCACTTTGCCTTTGTCCATAACTTCTTCAGCACCTGTCAAAACTGCCAGTGTGGAACCAGCGGGAAAACCAGGTCCCAAGGTCTCCAGAAATAAAAGTCCTGCACAAACCAGTGTGAATTTACAAAACCAATAGGCTTAAAATTCAGAGACTTAAAAAGAGACTAGGAACATCAGTTTTTTCAGCCAAGATATACAGGGTTTTCTTCCAGTCCTACTGTTTTCAAATCGCCTTATGTAACACAAGCAGGACTGAAGATACACCTTCATTACTGGACAGGAAGGTACCAAAATAGAGTAATTTAAATAAAAGAACGTTGACATAATTGGGCAATGCTGCAGATAGCGAGCTGATGTTGGATAAAATCCTAAAGTTATATTTGCTCTTCAGTGTTCATCCGTAATTCTTATTAACATAAATATGCTACTAAATCTCCCACAGTAAGCAGCTGTGGTAAATGACTTCTGTAGGTTTAAAAGCCAACAGTAATAAAGTCTTATTTTGTTTTCCATTAAAAAAAATAACAACAGAGGCTTATATGAGATGTGCATACACATGTTTGGTTCCAGTGGAGTGTTATTCATGAGCACCCGAAGTTATTTCCTATCTGAAATCTGTGTCACTGCAAATCAGCTACATATGCTATTCCCTTCCTATTGTGATTCTTAGTGCCTCCAAGTTACACAAATTGTCCACGTACAGCTCTGGATCTGCACAAAAGTTTTGGAGCCACCTTTATGCCATTTCTCCTTGATGACTTAAGTTTACCATGAAGTTAGGAACACAGGATCAGGAAAAATTACCCGAGCCACTGAATCCAGTCCTCTACAAGCCCAGAAAAAAAATCACAGTAGGTATTTCAACAAGCTGCAGGCTATCTGTTCTATATACCATCACTCAGGGTGGGGGGATGATGATGGGTATGACACAAAAAACCCTTAAAACTTAAAAAAACCCTTAAAAACCTAAAACATTTTAGAAAAAAGATAGAGTGGAAAAGCCATAACTAGCATGTCATGAGAAGTGAGCAAGAGAGGTAAGGCATCGCCAGTGTCCTAGGTCTGTACAATAGCTTGCAGCATATTAAATATTTATGGTCCGAAGAAATAGGGAAACTGATACAGATAAAATTATCCTTAAATCCTAGCAGCTACTGCAGACTTGCTAAGTGTGAGATGTGCTACTAGGGATTACAGAAGGTGTCAGTGAAGTTACACACAGGTATATACACAGTAGTAAAAGGAAAACACTTCAAAATAACGTATTACCCAAACAACAACTCTAGTCTTTATATAAGCCTGTTTCTACACATCAACTTTCCAAGCGCCCTTTATAGAACTTAGGCAAAACTTGAATTACTTTTTTTTTTTTTTAACAGGAAAGTAACATGAATTGAGGATTCTAATAAAGCATTTCATACTGCATTTCACAGCATCTTACTGGAAACATCAATTCAAAATGGCTTGCAGCGCAGAGAGATACGGGTTGGAATTTGGGTTAAAAGATCATAAACTGGAGATAATGGTGTATGCACATTACGCAAACTCGCCTTTTGTCCGTCTTTATTAAATTTATTTGCAGTCACCACAGGGACCTCAGATGATAGCACCACTGCATCAGAGAAATGTCTGGTGAAAGCTCTGAGGAAAACTTGGGTACAGTTTGTGGGCTGATACAAAGTCAATACAATGCTGACTTTGGCAATGGAGAAAATTCCTGAGGAGATGGAGCTGCCATAGCCTTTTAGAGGCCGTCAAGAAGAAAGAAAGGCAGAGTTAATCCACCAACTCTAAAAGCCGTTGTAGAGGTAAGAGGAGATGCAGCTGCACCTGTAAAGGTGTCTACCCATCAGAGGTGTGGAACGGCGTGGGCTGGCAGCCGCAACCCAGAGCAGAGAAGCCAGCCCCGCTGCTATTTCCCCATAAACTGGCCAAGACCCCGCAGGATCCCAAGACTCGAGCCCCTCACAGTAAGCCTGTGCATCCACAGAGCTCTGGAGTCAAGGCCACAGCAGTATTAGCTCCAAGTTTTACCTTGCGCTACCCTCACCCAGGGACACAGTCCTTCTCCCTCGTTATTCAGCTGACTGCACTATGGAGGCAGAGTTGGATGTGGACGTAATTCAGTACGTTTGTGATATGACTAGAGACGTTTGGCACACTCTGAATAACCAGTGTTTCAGTAACTTACTGAGCTTGATTACCTTGGAGGTTCTGACAGGAAAAATAATGTTTTCCTAAAGGCTGAAACAAATTCTACTAAAACCAACAGCAACCCAGGACCAAAGTCAAGATGCCATTTCTATATTGCTATTGATTAAGCTCACAGAAGGACTTCTACTCCACTGAAATGTAATACCTACCCCCTGATACCTCTGTTTTATGCACTTTGGCCTTTACGTCCCATGAGCCCTTTAATCTCACTCTAAAGAGCCAACCGGTCCAGCCTGCTTCTCAGCCACCCATAGAAAACTGTAGCCCTCAGAAGAAATTATTTCCTTCTCCTCCATCAACTGATTTCCAAAGCTGAGCCAAAATAATCACACCACGAGCATACTTACATGGTGCACAGCCACCTGAAATATGTGGGGCTCGCTTCATTTCCAAGCTACATTTGTCATTCGCAGTGCTTAACTGCAGGCATATAGCAAAATGTTATGGCAATAAAAAAGGATTTTCAATAACACTGTTGAAAAATAAGTTAAAACAGAAATTTAAGAAGAGTTTGGTAAATCCTGAAACAGGAAGAAGCTGAATGCGTCATTTCAGTATCATGGCTTTTCTTCAGTTCTTGACCCTACCTCGGTTTTGAAAGCAGATCCCTCCTCCCAACTTCTTCACGCTCTTTAAATCAAGGGCCCCACTGGACTAATGTAATCCATATGTTTACTATTGCTTACATGCTATTCGTAAGGGTCAGCTCAACTGAATTATGACCCCACCACACATACTTCCCTACTGTCTTGTCACCTTTTTCACAGAAAGGCGCACTTGGAGAAAAAATAAACCATGTGATGTGCGCAGTTCATTATGCTTTCAAGAACTGGTTTTATGTACATTTTTGCTAGACGTCAGAACAAGAATATTTTGATTAAATATTTGATTAAATGTCTTTAAAGATCATCAGAAATAAATTAAGTATACGTAAGTGATGCATGTAAGCAAAGCATCTGCTATACATTCATTACTGAGTAGACATGCCACTTTTTTTTCTTTCTTTCAGAAAACAGACTTTTGTATTGGAGAGGATTGGATCAAGAATTTCATATGAGAATCTTCTTGCGTTTATTGTTTTAGAAAGGTCCTATATTCTGCGTGGCCCAGTGTAGGATGAGCATGTGGTAAGGAAGCTGCTGGACGTGCATAAATAAACTAACATCTCTCCTCACTGCCCTGCTAAGGAAACACGAATCACAGGACAAGAAAATGAACAATTAGCAGAACCTTGCTTGAAAACAATGGGTTTTTTTCCCCAAGAGCATGATTTGTTATATTTACTGCTTTTCCCAGTGGCAGCAAGAGGGCTTGTGGTGCACGGAGCTGGCACGCTAGGGCAAGTCTGAGCAGCGGCAGGAGGGCGGCTGGCGCGGGTTGCAGCAGCAGCTGCTGCAGGCACAAGGCAGGGAGGCAGGGAGCTGCGCCACGGGACTGGGGGAAGCCGGAGGGAAACACTGCTCTCAGGGAGCTTTAGACAAAGCAGGAACGTGATGGTGATGGGTGCAGTAAGGAGCACGTGGTGTTAGCAGCACGGCAAATGCCGTAGTGGCTTGGGGGAAGCACGCAAGCGCAAACCAGAATGCTCTACGGTCCTCAAGGCAGAAACTAGCTGCACTCATGCTAAAAAGGGCTGGGGAGAGGAAGAGAGCAACAAGCTGCTGGTGAAGCTGGGAGTGGCAACAAACCTTTTATCATTTCTATCCTAAGCACTGTGCAGCAGGAGGTGTTCAACAGCAGACTCTTAAGAGTAGATCCAAAAGTCAAGCGAGGACTGCTTCTGGCCCAAGGAAGGTGTCTCACCAAGTTTTTCTGTGTAATGGGCCATTAGCTCCCCTATGGACTTGTTTTCTATTATACACTTCACCTAAAGGAGTAATATATGAAGTGTACTGCCACCTAAGACTGAACACAGCCAGCAACATAAAAAGAACAAGATGCTGATCCTCCGTCATTTCCTAAAACATGAAGAAGTATCTGGATGCAGATGCACATGCTTTAGTCAATTTGCATTGTGCTGTGGCTGTGTGATGCCCTAAAAACAAACAAAAACCCATCCAGAAAGCAAAACAAAAGCATGCCGCTAATGGTTTGAAACATAATAACATAACTGACATGGCATTCGCTTCCTTTCAGCATTATTTTTCAAACCCATGGGTGAAATATACCCTTTCAAGCCATGGCTCCCTTAGCAGATGCCCTCTGAGTATTTGAAGCTTGAGAAGAAAATAGCAGGTATCAAGCCCATGCCTCTCAGGCATGAAACTCTTATTAGTAGACTAGCCTTACTAGCCTTTAATTTACAGTTTTGTCTAGTGGGTGCATGTCAGCTCCACCACAAAGAGATTTAATTAGTCTGTAATTTGACATTGCAACACACCGGCTAGACAGACCAATGAAGGACATGTATGGAACTGCAGAGCAACCTGCAGATTTGCATTAACTTGGAAGCAAGAACAACTGCCATGTCCAAGCCAACTTGTGCTAACCACTGCAACAGTAACATAAATAAGCGAGTAATACAGAGCAAAGTGCTAAACCTTTGTCCATACCTGAGATACAGAAGGTCGAGGAGGCAGTGCAGGCGGTGGTGGGGGCAGCCAGCCAGACCTCACAGCTGAACAGTGAGAAAAGAAAAGAAAAAAAAAAAAAAAAGAAAAAGAAAAAAGAACAAAACCACATTAATTCCAAATAAAACCAGAATTAATTTCCATGATAATTCCTAGTGAAGAGGCAGTATTCAACATTTTAATAACAGAAACCAAACTTGATCTTTATTGAGCAAACCCTGTTGAAATAACTTCATGAGTAGTGAATGAGCAGTGATTTAATTGCTGTAAAAACCCACAATGTTATGATAAAAAGCAGAGATGGAAGCCAGTCAGCCACAAAAGCTGTAGCTAAAGCAATCCAATTCTAGTTCAAGAACCCCAGAAACAGGGTCTACTTGTCCTTGGGACTTTGCTCTTTGTCATTAACATTATTGCCTTTTTTAAAAGTGATGCTTTAGCATCCGCTGTAGACATTAGCATTCACTCCAGATAAAACACACTATGTGATGGAGTGCAGCCTTAAAAAGAAAACATCTGCCATGGAATTAATAGGACAAAAGCCTAAACAAACCAAAAAGAAATCCGTTTCTTTGGCTTATTGTTTTGTATTTGTATGTTATTACTTATTGGAGGTATTTTGGAGAGAGTAGGAGAATTAAGGGGAGGAAGACAAACCCTAATGGTCAGTTCAGGCCCCTTTAACATAACGCAATGTCAGCTTTCAGTTTGAGCTGGCACAAAGGGAGGGTAACAATCATGTAGGTCCAGCCAGTGTATTTCTCTGTATCCTTACAATACCTAAAACCCATCATGGGACAAAACTACAGGACAGACGATGGCTTCCAAAGGCAGCTGCAGAGAGGTCTAGGCTGGTGGGAGGTCGTAGGTGGGTTACCCTCCCCAGGCTCCTGTCGCATTGACTGCTCAGCACTTGCACTGGCAAAGATACCAGACAGTCCATCTTGCACTGGTGGTTATTTGTATAGCAAAAAAAACCCCAACAATATTAAACTTAGAAATGCCTTTTACCACAATAATGCTAAGCAAGCAATTACTTTTATACACTTCTTATTTCCATGCATACTTTAAAAAGCCACAAAGACCATTATGAGCCCTGTAACAGCTTAACCATTTACATATTTTACACACCAAGTCTAAAAATGTCTACATGGATGAAAATACAAAGACAAAAGATATTAACCATTAAGGACAACAGTGACATGACAGTAAAAATGTGTGGGTGAAAACACTGAGAACAGTCATATTGACTATATCCAGCTCCAGAGAGACTTGTAATACATTGAGGGTTTTCACATTTTCTGTGTCATCATCTCTTGAATCAAAATGAAGCCTAATATCACTGCACACAATGCCAAGGAGAGAGGTAGAACAATTAAAACCCAACTTAGGTTAAGCAAGGGAGCCACTAACACACGTACAGGTGTAAGAGAGATTTGAAAAAGCAGGATCCTTTCTCTTGCATTTAATTAGTTCTGTTTGTAAGGCCACTGCAATACCAGCATGATGTCGTCACTACATTCTCCATCTCTTCTGCACAAATGATCTTTAGAAAGGAACAGTGGAGTAAGAAACCTTCCTTTCCTTTAGTCTGAACTTCAGGTTATTAATTCATTTATCTAAGCGCTAGCAGTGGCTTTGGCGATTACAGCTAACAACAATATTTGAAAACACCATCTAACCCAAACACCAGCGTTCTGTAGGTCCATCAGCTGCACGCTTTAATAGCGGACAAGCATGTATGCTCAACGCAAGATATTTATCTTCAGGAAACCTTGTGGGAGCTGTGCTGCGATGCTCCATGGAAAACACCCACGTACACCTTACCCTCCCACCACTACCAGTGGTTATCCCTGCGAGGGTATCATCTCTGCTCTCCAAACAGCTCTAATGCCACGAGGGAGCACAAATCGCGCCCACTTCCTAACGAGCCCCTGGCAGCCCAAACATGAAGCTATGGAGTGCACTGCTGCCACGAGCACGTGGGTCCCTGGGAAGGGGCATGTGGGGCTGGGGTCAGCGGTGCTGCAGGCAGGCACCGGCCCCAGCGGCTCCCTCGACCCTTCCAAATATACAGAGCCCCGTCCAGGGTTCATCATTTTTGTACATGCTTGGCTTATGCTCCAGCAGGCCCTCAAAAGCTTCGCTACAAGAGCTACATCCATCGAGAACTGGTCTGAACTTCAGCTCTAGAGGATACAACACTTACTGTCCTTGCTCCCAGATTCTTCAAACCCAGTGATATATCTACAAAAGCAGCAGAATAGTCTTTATGCAGAAAGGCACTGGGCTTGCTGGAAAAGCATCTCCTGAAGTGGCTGCACACGTTGTGAAACCCCAGAAGTCTCCTGGGATTTGTCCCACAAAATTCCAAAGGAAAAAGTAATTTTTCTGTAAGATAGTCAAATTAAAAAAAAAAAAACAAAAAACCAAAACCCAAAAAACCAAAACCCACCAAAAAACCCCAACCCCAAAACCCACTTCTTTAGCTTTCAAAATACAACATATATTAATTTAGCATTAAAAAACTTATTAGATGCTTACACCTTGTGCATTTGACCCAGTTTCCTCTTTTTAATCCTGCAAATTCTAACTTAAGTTATCCATGAAATATTCATAAAATTCCTGATGTTGCAGAACCTCTTCCGCCTGTTAGAAGGAAAGCATGCTTATGTGAGCACAATTGCTAGACAAAAGTTACTTCACTTTTGAGGACTCATAACAACTTATAAAAAACTCGCTTTTTTCCCCACAGGACAATGAAAAAAAATGTAATGATAGATGCTGCATGCTTCAGCCTTCTCTAGTGTCACTACCCTAAATATTAACAGATACTCATAGGTTTTTATGTGTATCGGCAGGTGACTTGTAATATTAAGCTATTCCAGAATGCCTGCCTTCCTGGGAAACCGCCCGGCCCTGATCGGCTCTTGCTCTTAGGGATGGCATCACTACATTAGCTCTGAAAGCAAACCCAAATACAGGAGAAGGTCTGTTTCCAAAATGAAAGCAAGTACCCTGGGACCGAGCAGCAAACAAACGTCTTATTTCCAGGTGCACACCCCAGAGCTGGGATAAGCTGCATGCCATTGCTTTTTGAGAACAAGTCTTCACACCCTGAGCAAAAGCAGAGGGAGCTGGAGGGAGCAGGAAGCTGCATGCCATTGCTCTTTGAGAACAAGTCTTCACACCCTGAGCAAAAGCAGAGGGAGCTGGAGGGAGCAGGATGAGCCTCTCGCAGCTCGCCTCGCTACGGAGCAGCTTGGTGGCGTTCACAGCAGGGTGAGCAACGTACAGCAAATCTCAGACACAGCACTGTGGAAAGGCCATATGGGTACCAGTAAAACAGATTTAAGTATATCCAGTATTCATATCACATGTATTCCTGTAAATGATAGCATTTTCACGCATTAGTTACACCCACAGAGATAGTGATAAGGACTTCAGTTCAAAAATCATGGCTCTTTACTTAGCATGTTTACACTTTAAGGCAGATTATCTGCATGGAAAGCTTCCAGGGCCATTTTTCTGCCCTATTTTGGCAATTACAAAGGTCTGATAGCACTAACAGGACACCACACTAGATAAATAAACAGGGTTTCCAATCTGAAGCTAGATTAGTATTTTAAAACAAACACTAGGCTGTGATGCTGCACTCTGAGAACAGGCCATGCTATCCTATCTGGCCATGCCACTCTGCCTCCAGCCTCCCTAGCAGACAACACAAACCCTCAGCACTTGCGTTAGCCACAGTAGTGAAAAATATGAACCATGGTGACCATCCAAGTAGCTCCTTTACTTGACTTATTTGATCTTGACTTATTTGATCTAGGAAGAGGAGACCAAGGAAAAACATAAAATTATCATAATCCAGTCAAACCTATGGGAAATAGGTCTTTAGTTCACCAGGCACAGCAGCAGGGGAGGATGCCAAAATTAGGGTGGAACAAATTTGGGCCCTCGGGATCCTTTAGACCAACCTATAAGGGCAACGTGCTGCACCTCTCTCATCCAATGATAGTCACTTGTCCTCTTGTTTCTTAGTATTGAAGAAAACTGCCATAATACACTGAGCTGCTGGGTGCATGCTATTTTTTAAAATGAATTAATAATAGAACAGCAGCATATGAAACTACATTTCCTGAAACATTTCCATGTCAAGTACTTAATTTGATTTCCATTCTTTATAGCTGTCTGTCTTCTTGGTTTTATATGTCTATCACTTTACCCCGGGTATCACCTCAAGACAAGTGAGAGCTGTTGGGTAAAAAAAATGTACTCCTCCTCATCTGAATTGAACACTTTCATGAGCAGTGTCTTGAAAGATGGTGGTTTTCCTGGGTCAAGGGCCATTTTGTACCTTTCTAAACAAAGTGAAACTAGTTACCACCTACCAAAGGAGGCCGATGTCATCTCACGTCAAAACCCTACACACCTTTCATCCCACGATCAAATGGGTACCCAGAGTTTGGTTACTCCTCTTATTTTGGTCACCATTCCCAAAGGGAGAGAGAGGCCTGCGTTTCTCAACTCACACAAAGGGTGCAACCCTAACCAAACCCAGCCTGAATCCAGGCAGCCTAAATCCAGGTTCTTCTTCTGTTCTGCTTCCCCACCACCACCACCACTACCACCCCTTCTGCAATTGGGTAGGGACCATCCAGGAACTTGGGAGAGAACTCTGATAGGGTTCCTTGGTAGACTCTGGCTGACGTGTTTGGTATTTTTCAAGTGGATGCTACAGCATTGTTGGATCAAGGGAGAGGCTGGTTGCATGGCAGGTTTACATCAGTTTATGCTGCACTTCAGCGTGCTTAGCTCCCAGATAAGGTTTAACAAAAGACCAACCAATTCATTTTATCAGGAAGCAAAGGATCTGCAAAAGATAAGCCAACAGAATGAATTACTCTTCAATTCCCCAAACTACCCAAGGCTTTGGTTCCTTAGGTAGTCTGCAAAGCCAGCATTTTCACCCTTCCAGACAGTATTTTTGAGAGTTTTTTGAGAGACTTTTCCTGTTTCTGTTGCCAAAGGCAGACTGCAGAAA